TATATATGTGGGGTGTTATTGGCAATAATAGCCGTTTCTATCTAAGTTATCTTTCAGCATTCATTGATCGACCAGTCAGAGCTACGATTGCACTTTCTAGTATTCACGCGTGCTTCTCATATATATATATATATATATATATATATATATATATATATAATCAACACGTTTTAACACGTCCAAGAAAGGAATGAATTCTGATATTTGGTCTAATTTTGACATGTGGGACGGGTCATGAACATTACACCATCTTATATAAAATACTCATATATATGTGCATGTATGTACAAATACTAGAAAAAATACGTGGTTAAGTTTTAAACTAAAGTTTTAAACTAAAGTTTTAAACGAGTTTGTATCACCAGATCATTCACTGTTCATAGATCTTTAATCAAATTGTGAAGAGTTGAAAACAACCGGTTATATTGGGAGACAGATTGCTAGACACGTGCTATCTCAAAATTTAAAACGAATAAATTATTGTTTTTAAATGATGTATCACTTCTACGTCACATTATATTTAAGGGATTAACTTACTAATTCCTTATTCATTAGTTGCAGACAACGTCATTCCTTCTTTGCCCAATGTCTTTCTCAATCCCTGTCTTTTTTTTTCTTTTAGTAAGTTTAGTAAGTTTTTCTTATATTCTAGGCTTATAATTAAGATTAATCACCCCTGTTGATTACTCGTCTGAAATGTTTTTCATTAGATCTTCAATTTCTACCCTGAAAACCCACAGCATCAGTGGTTAGCCCTACATACGTGAAGATGCATATAATTATCATATATATATATATATATATATATATATATATATGCGATATTTAGTGGAAAGTGCACAATATCCGTGATAGACCTGTAACATATGTGGTTGCATGGATGGTAGTTTGTAACCCTGGGTTTTACGTTTTCACAATCTTCAGAAATGTCCTGAAGATCCGGAGATCGCGAAAACGTGACCATCCATGCAACCGCATATATATATATATATATATATATATATATATATATATATAGAGAGAGAGAGAGAGAGAGAGAGAGTTGTATTTGGTCGGTAATCTCTTTATTATACATTAAAAAGAGTGCCCAGGTCGTTCTGTTAATTTTTTTTCTTATTTTCCCTGTGAACTAGCCATTGATTTCTTGGCTTAGTGTGTGTAGAAATTGTCCAAACGTTTGTTCTGTTCGATGGTGTAAAACGGTCGACTACGAACATGACCAGTATACACTGGCCGTACTCGCGAATTAAATATGTGTTTACCTCTCAGTGACTTACTTAGAACACGACTTGCAATAACACAGTGAAAATCTTTGAAAAATTAATAATAGGTTAGTTTAAAGCGCAAGAAACACACACACGTTTGGAAAAATCTACACACAATAAATTAAAAAACTGAACTATCTTGATTGTAAACAACAAAAGCAATACAAGACTTTAAAATTACTCTGTCAGTGATCATTAACTTAGAAAGTTCACAAACACACGTACACGCACACATCACACACACACACACACACACACACACACACACACACACACACACACACACACATATATATATATATATATATATATATATATATATATATATATATATATATATATATATATATATATATATGAGTGTTTAAAATAGGAAATTTTAAAATTTTACAACATGGAAAAAAACTTACAAGTTTACAAATTGAAAACGCTTCGCTGAAACTAGATTTGATTACGCGTTTCACCTTTCTAGCCTTCATCAAATCCGAAAATGAAAGAAAGAAATGTGTGTATGTTTATTTGTGAGTATGCTTAAATAATAAATCGTAGTACTTGTCCCTCAGTTCGCATTTATCGAGATTAAAGAATGTGTCTTTTTAAAAAAAAAAGCCGTTAATATTTATTCTTTATAATTCTTAGTTCATCTCGAAAGTTGTTAATATATTTTCCCAGTTTTTTTATCGAATTAAAGGTAAATCCTATATGTAATTCATGCATATATATATATATATATATATATATATATATATAAAGATATGTTTAGTGTTAGAAAACTTTATCACTGCCATAAACAGACAAAAATGAATTTTATTATTACCACTCATGATGATAATAAAAAAGTAAAAAAACTGGTTAGCTAAACCGGTTAATAAAGTAAATTATTTAAAAAAAAGAAAAATGGACAAAGTGTATTGGGGAAAAAATATTAGATGGTAATTAGTTGGAGGCCTAATACAAAATCCTTCTCTTTACATAGAGAAGGCTTTAATGATAGAATATAGATGGCCTCCAACACTTTTAGGTGTTGATTAGAGTGGGACCTGCTAAGAATGGTAAATTATTTCACACTAAAACTAATAGCACAATTATGGCTATTTATTAGGTGTTCTGAGAAGGAAGACCCGTATGTATTCGTCAAAATGTCCGAGAGAGTGTACTTAAGGTTTCGGATTTTCGTGTTGCTTTATTCTAGCATCCAGCTTTTGAGTCGTTCTCCCTATGTAGTGCGTATTCGACAGGAGAGTTGAGTATATATATATATATATATATATATATATATATATATATATATATATATATATATATATATATATATATATATATATATATATAACACAAACATAAGGCAAAAGCACATTGTGTGATTGGTGTCTACACGATTTCGAGCATGGTCAAATTCTTAAAGTAATCGTCACTGCCTTCTTTTCTGACTGTTCAAGATGTCTGACGATAGGTCCAGTCGTCGTGTCTTAATTAAGTTGTCATTCTCTAAAAGTGGCTGCTAATCAGAGCTGAAGATTCCATACTACGCTACTATTTAACCCTTGGACGGGAGAAAAGAGCGGATTCATGGGTATGTGCGTCAAATTAATGCGTCTGGAACTCGAACACGACTCGCCGATTTCGCGTTGCGTGTCGCTAACCGCCAGCTCATTATTTTTGATATGGACGCCCAAGACTACATGGACAATGAACACAACAATATATATAACTCTCCCGTCGAATACGATTTATGAGGGTCAAGCAGATCAGTTCCTAGGAACCGACAGTCAGACGCCAGCAGATATGATTTGATTATGGCGGTGAAGGTTTTGTGCAGAACCATCCACACTTTTTGAAGGGCCGAATACAGAGACCTGGTGCACAACGGGCCACAACCTCCCCAAACGACCTTACGCAGGTTTTGAATTCAGAATTGTTCTTCTCCCAGAACAGTTGCCATTCAAGGCTATAGGACCAGGTCTGCCCTGCTATGTACCCATAGCTGGAGAGAAAAAAAGAGAAGTCATACCTTCCCCAATGGTATTATTAGCACGTAAGCGAATGTAATGGATTTGACTGGAATTCGAACTCGGATATATATATATATATATATATATATATATATATATATATATATATATATATATATATATATATATATATAGATAGATAGATAGATAGATAGATAGATAATTTTGTCTTTGGGCATCATTCTCTCTTTCGTTGAAGATGACTGACAATAAACTGCAGTTAAATATCTTATATTTTTATTGCATGCATTCAAGTAATTTTTTTTTATTTTAATGTGTAAATGTCCAACTGATAGCGGATAAGAGATTTGCCGAAAGCGCTCGAATCCAACAATTCTTACATATTATATATCCCAAAATAAAATCCCTTGTATGCATGTAAGAAAATATAATAGCAATCTTAATCGCAGTGACTTGTCAGTCATCTCCAATGAGACCTGTATATATATATATATGTTTGTGTTTGTGTGTTCGTGTTTCTGTGTAAGATAATAATGAAGTTTTTTTATACTACTCTGAGAGTATAGATTCGCGAAAGCTACTTCTTATAAATATTAATGTGTTGTTATGGATACGCAAGGCCGTGTTTATTTATGCTTGTCAGGTTAAATGAATGTGTAGGAGCGACTCGGATTGAGGAATCGGAGAGCCGAGTTCGAATTCCACTCGAATCCATTACATTCACTTAACGTGCTAACAGCCTTGGGAAAGGCATGAATCCTCTTTTTAAGCTATGGGTAAATAGCAAGACAAACCGGGTTCTATAGCCTTGGATGGCAACTGGTCTACCGCAGAAATAAATGGCAACCTACTGCGGGGAAAAAATCTGCCTCGTCAGTCATGATACATGATCGCCTAAGCGTGTATTACGCATGACACGTAACTGAAGAGAGACAAAAACTTCTGGACGAACATATTTGAATATAACTTATACTTGGCTAGCAAAAACAAAATCTCGCATTCAGCATTAATTCAATCTTAATTTACATATAGTCTGAAATGCATTACCAGAAATAAATCGCATTGCTTATTTACACGAAAGTTAATCTCATGATATATTTTAGTATATCTATCTTGATCGCAGAACTCAAAGACGGGGCACCTCTAAGTGGTTATTAAGCTTGTTTCAATAGAATAATTATAATTGAGTAATGAGTTCGATCCTCACTGGTTGCCCTACGGGTCTTGTGACTCATCCAAGCTATGCTTTGAAAACCCACATACCTCAAGGACGGCGAGTCAGATGGCCACCACAGTTTCTTGTTTGCGAATGGAACCTTGAAGAATATTTTGAACAGTTTAAATTTTGAAAATATTTCTAGTTTAGAAATTAAATATATTATTAAATTAAATTGTTACTGTCGTTAGAGTAAGCTAAACCGAATCTTCATTTTGACTAAACTTAGAGCTGAAAAAAATGTTAGCCGAAATCAAACAAGGCATAAAAGAAGCAGTAAAAATTGAAATATTTCACAAGAAATGAGTAACTGACATTTTGTGAATCCCCCCCCCAGTCATTCAAATTCAGTGTGACCTGAAAGTTCATGCGGTGATGTTATTCAATTAATTTATGGTTCAGTAAATATATCATTCAAGTATATGTGTAGCTCTTATTGAGGCCATAGGCGTTCCGTAGAAACCAGTTTAAAAGTACAATAAAGATAAGAATCGTTGAAATTCAAGATATTTGTATACAATCCTACATACGTCAACATCACGTTGAAAAATATCGGTTCCCGTACGATCACTGAAGTTAAGCAATGTCAAGCCTGGTCAGTACCTCGATAGGTAACCGCTCAGGAATTATAAGATGCTTTAAGCTTGGATGTGCGGCTGGTGTAATGATAATGGCTAGGAATTGTTAATCGGAGAGCCGAGTTCCAATTCACGTTGGGTTCGTTATATTCACTTACGCGCAAATACCCTTTGGGAAAGGTATGAATACACCTCTCCCCCACCAACTATGGTTTAATTGCTAGGACTTGTATCACTAAAAACATTATTATTATTATTATTAAAAAAATGTATATATAAAATAAAGTTGCGTACAAAATATTTAAATTTCGGCATTAAATAACCATGATATGACCCTAAACAATACGAACTAAGAATGCAATAATAATCTTTAATTTTCACAAAAATGAATAGTGGAAAATGTCATGAAGACATTGCTGACCTTAGATCTCTGGTTAGGACCCGGAAGGAAATGTGTATACAAAAGAAATCAAATAAAATAATAATAATAATAATAATAATAATAATTATTATTATTATTATTATATTATTATTACTAAAATTATTAAAATGGCGTATTAGAATCAGAAAATGTTGATTCAATATCAAATGCAGAGAGGAATGTTGTCATTGGAATGCTGATTAAGTTCAAGTCCTGCTTAAACGAAACTCTTAAATAGATCACAAGAAAACAAATCCCTGAAAAAACTCCCACCAAAAAAAAACAGCAAACATTTTTATGAAATTCCTTATGTCACGTAAAACTTAATTCTGTTGGTTGCTTTGTAAATGTCAGTACTGCAAGTCATAGGAAATGTCGACTTAACAATAATAATATTAATAATATATTTGGAAATTTATTCTCAAATGCTATGTGAATTATTTCTAACAGGCCATCAACTCTTTAAGTTTTATAAGTACGTATTTTGTATAATATTGTCTTAGGACTTCCAATTTTTGTAGATGAATCGCCAATATTCATTTTTTCTCGTCTATTTTAATATTGTTGCGTTTTTATTGCAACGCTCAGAATAATTTTTTATATTATCTGACGTTTAAGCAACAATAAAACAGTCTACAATATGTTAAATATTGTTCAGATCACACAAGTTCCCAAAGATAAGGGATGCGAAATCATGTCTATTCGGACACTACATCTGTTTCCAGATACATACTGTTTAGTTATCAGTTTTAAAATATTAAAAACAAAAATTAATTGATTTGTTTTTTACGGGTAATGTTGCGTTTTTATCGCAACGCTCAGAATATTTTTATATTACCTGACGTGGTTATTTAAAGCCGAAAAATATTTTGGATTGTATGAATAATTATATTTTTTTATGAACTATTTTCGGAGAATAGCAATTATTTTTTTGCGGAAAGAATCTCTACTATTTAACCCATGGATGAAGGAGATTATTTATACATTTTTCAAGGGTATTTGTGCGTAAATTAATCTAACGGACCTGAGTGGAATTTGAAATCGGCTCTACCGATTACACATTCTTACCCATTTATCCTGTTTAAAACACCCGCATATACACGAAAACAAACAAATAAATAAACCCCTAGAGGTTGGCATTAAATGAAACTAAATTACTAACATATATAACACATACTAGTAAAACAATAAATAAAAGTGTATATGTTTCTTTAGCTTCGGCTAAGGATTCCTGAAAGTCGAAAATAGTAGAAAAATAGAAAGTAATAGTCCAAAACTATGACTATTGCCCGTTCGCACAAATTACTTGGCTTTCAATGAAGACCATGAACACATTTGTCAAAGTTTGTTATTTGACATGATTAAAGACAGCGATCAATATGGTGGAGAGAGTCAAGCATTTTAGAGGTTGAAACTATGGAACGCACTGAAGAAAATATTGCATCAAAGAAAACAGGCTTAATAGATGCACGTAAAGACGCGAATATACCGATAGTATATATATTTGCACACATACATGTATGAGAATAAAGAAATAAATTTCAGTATAGGAATACGTGTGTGTGTGTGTGTGCGTGTGTGCTAACATGATTATAATCACTGGGTATGTAAAATATATTCAATTTATGTACATGTGTATGTATGTATGTGTGCGTGTTTGGAATTGCAGATAATATCAGAGGAAGTTTGTCGTTATCTTTTGCTTATATATATATATATATATATATATATATATATATATATATGCATGCTTGTGCGTGTACATTACAAGGACACAATACACGCATATGTGTGTGTGATCTGAGTTGCAAACAATCAATATTTTAAATGGGTGATCATTCAACGTGAGTTACTTTAACTCCGATAATATGAACATATATATATATATATATATATATATATGTGTGTGTGTGTGTGTGTGTGTGTGTGTGTGTGTGTGCGCGCGCGTGAGCGAGTGTGTATTTATATATGCTTGTGCATGTGTGTATTTATATATGCTTGTGCATGAGTGTGTATTTATATATGCTTGTGCATATGTATTTATATATGCTTGTGCTTGTGCATGTGTGTGTATGTATGTATGTGTGTGTATGTGTATGTGTGTGTCTGCGCGCACGTTGCATGCAATCAATATTGTGTATTGCATAACCATCAATCATGTTTATTGGAGTTACTTCCATTTTATTTTTGTCAAATATATATATATGTATATGTGTGTATTTCTCCGTGTTTCTGCGTCTCTGTGTGTCTGTGTGACTGCTTCACGCCTCTTTACACACACACGCACACAGTAAATATTACGAAATGCTTACAAATGTATAGTTCACACAGGCAATGACATTGTACACATGAATACATAGAGAAATTAAAACATCGAGACACTTATCAAAACAGACTTGGATATAGATTTAAATATATACAAAATACTCATATGAATAGGATTACACGGAGAAGGTAATGAACATAGATAGATAGATAGATAGATAGATAGATAGATAGATAGATAGATAGATAGATATAATACTATGAATAGACTGAGATAGATAGATAGATAGATAGATAGATAGATAGATAGATAGATAGATAGATAGATAGACGAAGGCCATTGGAGAACGGGTTTTAGGTCGCGCGCATGTATTATGGTCATGATGTGCTTTGTATGTAAACCCGTATAGAATGCAGGTAGGTGGGGGGGAAGGGGAGAGATCAAAATTCATTTCCATTTCTATCATTGTATTATTCATATGCTTGTTAGAGTGTCAGCTTGTACGTGAGACATAAAAATGAACACAACATCAAAAATTACAGGTATATATAGAGAAAGTGAAATACTTATGTAGTGTGTGGCTTTCTTTATTATATCTATATATTATACAGACGATAAAAGCCACTAAAAACAGATTGATCGGGTTGCCCGAAAAAGAAAAGAATCTGACATTATTTTCTCCACCGTTTTTTTTTTTTTTTAATTTTTTATTTCATGTCTTCGTTAGCTATGATTACGAATATATCATTTGTATTTTTTTTAATATTATTTTTATTAATATTTTATATTTTAATAGCTACATCACCACTATATATTTTTTTTTATCACATTCATTCCAAAATCCTTTTTTACGACTTCCACTCTGATTATTTTTTTTCTTTGTAGACCGGCCTTTATTGCAGTGCTCACCCATAGATCTCTGCTAATTCTTAGAAGCGAACAAAACATGACTATTTACGCGTCTTCGAAAGATCGCTTATGTAATCGTCAATTTATTAACATGCCGAAAGTTAAGATAAGTAAAGAGTTAAGCTTTTGTTTTTTTCGATGCGGTTGACGGTTAATTGCTTTCCCGTACACATTTCGCTTTGTTAATTTATTAAACGTTCAAGAATTTCGATATTTACGAAATATTTTTTGATACCTCAAAATAAATCATCTTGGTTGTGAAGTATTCGAAGGTATTTCACATTAATTCAGTGTCTTTCGGAAACGTCTACATCAGGTTTTAATTTTTATTTCTTTCAAAAATAAACTCATAAAATTGATTTTTATTAGATTTCAATGTAAATGCTTTGGAGAGTTTTCCGACTCTGTTAATTTTAAAGAGATTTTTTTTTTTTACATTATTTTAAGTATCATCTCTGTCATATTATAATTGTACTTTTAAATCTACCATTTGGTTTCAAATTCCACCTTTGTAAGTCCAAAAATTCTTAGAGTGACATGGGGAGAAAAGCAAGCGGTCAAACTACCTAACACCACGCGAAGTCTTTTTTTTTTATAACATTGATCCCACAGGAACTTGACAGCATATATTTATGTAATATACATTCATTTTCTGGACTCGTTTTACTTTATATATATATATATATATATATATATATATATATATATATATATATATATATATATATATATATATATATATATATATATATATATATATATATATATATATATGCAAATGTATGTATATACATATGCAAGTGTATATATATATATATATATATATATATATATATATATATATATATATATATATGAAAGTATTTTATGTATATATATATATGTGTGTGTTTGTGTGTTTATATCTGTCTGTTTTTCTGTCTGTCGGCATATTATACACCAAGATTTGAAGAGTTACCGGAAAATTATCCGTTGGGTATGAATTCAACGGAGCTTGAAATATGCACAGAACTTTACGTATATATATATATATATATATATATATATATATATATATATATATATATATATATATATATATATGTGTGTGTGTGTGTGTGTGTTCGTGTGTATGTTCGTGTGTGTGTGTGTGTGTGTCTGTGTGCGTGTGTGTTTGCTTGTGCGTGCATGTATCTATAAACATGCACGCGTATATGTGTGTGTGTGTGTGCGACTGTGTTGTCTGAGTGTATAAAAGTTTTTTGAATTCAACGAGTTTAATGACAGAGCAGAAGAATACATGTTTCTAAATGTTTAATTCAAGCAGTTTGTACGATAGAACACACTACAACACAAATGACGTATTTTTGTACAATTTATTATGTTTTATCTAAAAATACTGGTTCAGTTTTTATTTTTATTTTTCTCTTTCTCTTGTTTGTCTATATTTCTCTTCGTGCGTCATTATAGTTTTAAAATTTTTCATCGTGCGTTCGTTTTTTTCCTTTGTTTTCTTAACTTTAGTCAGAGTGACACTGCGTCAAAAATTTATCGGGTATCATTATGAATAACCAAGTTTCGATTAAGAATATTTATGCCAAAAAGAGAGAAAGAGAAAGAGAGAGAGAGAAATACGTGACTTACTGCAACTTAAATCAAGAATAACGGCCACTTCTTTTGTATTAATATTTTTTATTATTTGTGGGATTATTGAAAACATCTAAATTCGTCTGAGACGCGCTTGATTTTGGAATATATTTGCTCATACATACATGTAGATCGAATACCTAAAAATATGAATATACACATCATGCCCATATATATATATATATATATATATATATATATATATATATATATATATATATAAGATAAATAACTGTATATAAACATGAGTGTTGATCAATGCATATTTATTATTTGAATTATATTTATTCATACATGTGTTCTGTTTTTCGAACACTTTTTATCGACGTTAACAACGAACATACCCAACTCAAAAAACTGATATATATATATATATATATATATATATATATATATATATATATATATATATATATATATATATATATGTATATATACGTATCAATTATTAAATATATTGATGTATGGACGTACTCGTGTTAGTTGTGTGTCGGGTAATACTTAAAAGTTTTGTGAAACATCTTAATTTTCCTTTTATCCCTTTTTCGATTTGATAATTTCTTAATCTTGAAACTTTGAAGCAACTGCAAACTTTCCTTTCATTTTTTATCACATAGGATCCTTCTCATCTCTTTCCATTATTCAAAGATTCACTTCTTTCTTACTCTCTTCCACGCTCTTTCTTTCTCTCTCTCTTTCTCTTGGTTTCCCCCTTTTTTTTTCTTTCTCGATTTCTACGTCTCACACACACACATGTTCGATTTAGCGTTAGTTTTCTTATTCGGCATTGTAATTTTCTCTTTTTAGTTAGAATTGTAGTTCTCTGTTTCATATTTTAATAAGATTTCTGTGGTTCTCAGAAAGGATTTTTTCTCTCCATTATTCTTTTCTGAATAATATTTATTTTTATTATCATTATCGTCATAGTTACCATTATTTCTTTGTAAATATTGATTTATTTATCAACCTTTCCATAGTATATATATATATATATATATATATATATATATATATATATATATATATATTTTTTACTTTGATTTCGTTAAAATCCCGTTCTTTCTTTTGACTATTATCTAGTTTCCTCACGTTATGTATATCAATGCCGTTCAACACAATGAGTATTTTCTGATATATTTTCTTTTGCAGAAAGGTTTTCTTTTTTTTTTTTTGGAGTGCGGGGGGGCGGTTAAGGGTATGGAAAATATTTGGAGTAGGGAATTATTTATGTTTTGTTGTATTTGTGGTCAATTTCATTTTATTTTATAGTTTTTTTTCTTGTGGGATTTTGTCAGGAAGAGATGAGGGAGGGAATATGATTTTTTCTCGAATTTGTTTTACAGTTTTCCAGAGAGAAAAAAAAAGCTCCCCTCCCACAAGAAAAAAAAAATATGAAGAATGAATCTTCTATGAGAATTTATGAGTTGGCTTTTAAAAAATTATAAACCTCTATAAACCATTTTTTCTTTTGCTTTTCTCTCTATTTTTTTCCTTTTTTTTTTTTTTTTTTTTTTTTTTTCAAAGATTAAATCTCATCCAGTTTTATTTCTACCTCATTTTTTTTTTTTCATTTTTGATCATGAAAAATTAAAACTTTTTAAAAATGTTAAATTCATTTTTTCGGATTTTAAATTTGTTTTATTTATTTACTTTTTTTTTACTTACATTTTTCTTCTCTGGTAGTTTTTAAATATCCACTGCTTCTAATGGTAATAATATATCCAAGTTTGTTTCCCATTTTCCTATCATGGTTCAGAAATAATGCCCACCACAGCAAAGAACCAGGAAAATGGGATAGTCATATATATATATATATATATATATATATATATATATATATATATATATATATATGATATATATATAATATATATATATATATATATATATATATATATATATATATATATATATATATGATATATATATATATATATATGAGGTTTTTTGTAGGTTTTCATTTGTTTTGTGTTGTTTGTTATTTTATTTTATATTCATTTTTTGTTTTCATTAGTTTGAGTTAAATTTAGGTTATAAGTTTGTTTCTTTTTTTTCTTTGATATTTTTTATGATTTTTTTAAAAATTCGACAAAGAATCATCATCATCGTCACCATCAGTATTATGAAATATCGATGATGACGATGATGATGATAATAGTTTTATATGATTAAATTCTACAAATTGGGTTCATTTAATTTTATGATTTTGTCTTTTTTTTTTTACAGTATCGTTTTGACCATTAATGTTTTTTTAATTTTATAACTATCATTGTTTCTTTTTTTTAATACTTGTAAAATATACAACAAAAACAGCACCTTGCAGTTATTTGAAGTCTTACAATCAACTTCTTTCGTTTTTCTTATTTTCTTTTGTTTTGAGTTTATGTTCTATTGTCGTTCTCCCTTATTCTGTTTACTTTCCGCCAGACTGTGACGAGAGCACACCAATGCTATTGAGCCACCTCGTAACAGCCACATTTACACGTATTACACGCGCCATACGTAGTCTGTACGGTTGACTGGGATTTGGGCATTTCTCTCCTCTTTTCTTTGAATAAAGAAAGACTTTTCCTTTTCATATAATAAAAATATTTCCCCAGTACAATGTCCTTTCTTTAAGAAAAAAAATACACTTCCTTCAAAATGCCTGTTTTTTTTTTTTTTGTTTTTTTGTTGTTTTTTTTTTGTTTGTTTTTTTTTTTTTCATGTGTTTTATTTTTGTTTTTTTTTGATTTTTTTTTTTTTTTTTTTTTTTTTTTTTTTGTTTTGTTTTTTGGCCTGGATTATAATTTTATTTAAAGTTTTTTTTTTTTCTTTTCCCCGTCTTCTTAATGTTTTATTTAAATATAATTTCTCCAACTTTTTTTTTTCGTCTCCCTGCTTCTTCTTCCTCTACTTTTCAATATGCAATAATTTTATTAAAATTATTAAGGTTATCGATTAATGTTATCGATTAACTCACAAGGTCTTTGTGTTCCATCATTTTGATAGAGCTCTCATCAATGTCAGCCATGACATAATGGTTCTCAGGAGTTCGCCGTTTCTCTGAATGGTCCCTATCTTGTGGACCCATGGAGCGTTGTTGCCGGCAAAAAAAATGAAAGACTAAGATACAAAGCAGAAAGGTAAGAAGGAACGTCCCGATGACGGCTCCAATCAGCTCCATCAGAGTGAAAAGAACGTCCGCCGTGAGGTCGGTCATGTTCATGGCCGACTGGTTCGAACTTCGACCGTGAGATTTGAGCAGGCTGTTTTCCATCGGAACAGTGGTTACGACTTGTCGCGTGGTTGAGCCACTCGGGGGCCAGGTCACCTGCAGTGTAAAGGTCACATTACCAGCCGGGTTGTTCGCGATGCACTTGTAACGAGCATTGGTGCTAGTGTGATGATTGTGAATAAATAGTACCCCCTCTGTTGTTTTGACTGCTCTATCTTCGGAGGGCTCGTAGACTTCAGACGTGCCGTCGGGCCGCTCCCAAAATAGCGTCGGCGACGGATCAGCTCTGGCCACACATGACAATTTGCCAACGTGCGGACCAACAAGAACATCGACCCCTTGAAATATCGGGAGTTGACACTGAAAATCTTCGATCGTTAACGCGTTGAAGGCTTTCGATTTAAGTCGCCGGGGTGAATGACATGTCAAAACAACGTCCTCTGGGAACAAACTGGAGTTGGTTACATACATCTGGTAGAGCCAGGCCAGTTCGCAGTTACAATGCATTGGGTTGTTCTCCAGACGTACGTGGCTCAACGTCTTGAACAGATAATACCATTCCTTAGGGAGGTACTCGAAATTGTTATCGTTCAACCAGATCATCTTTAATGTTCCATTAAGAGGTCGTATTGTATCTTGGGACATGTTATGCAAACCACATTTCCTAAGGAACAATCCGACAGTTCGAAACCCGGTGAAGGCTTTAGGCGCGAACTGTATTCCAGGATTGCTGTTCAAAAATAAATGCTTTAGTGACAGACCCCTAAAAGTGTAATCTTCAATATAGCGCAGTTTATTGTTGCTTAGGTCCAGCATGGAGAGGTGCCTTAGATCTGCAAAAGTGTCAAGCGTTATTACCTCAATGCCGCATCCGTCGAGAAACAGGTCTACTAAGTTAGGAAGGCGGGAGAAGTTTTTTCGTACCAATACTTTATTGGCGAAAAGATTCTCGTTCAGGCTAAGTTGTCTTGTGTCGCTTGGAATGAGATCAGGAATCTCTGTAAGTCCTCTTTTGGCGCAGCCGATGTGCTTGGCCATAGCCTGACAGAAGCATACCTTGGGACAAATGTCCGCACAGGTCGGTCCGAACAGATGCAGGAGTAATAGGCAAACTAAAGACAGGGAAGAAAATGTTTTGATGCTGAAAGCGTTGCTTAAGAGACTTCTAAGATACTGCTGCTGTTGTTGTTGTTTTTGTTGTTGATGCTGTTGGTAATCGTCGTTTTCTTTTTCTTTTTCTGCGTGGTGGTGGCGATGGTGGTGGTGGTAGTGGTGGTGGTAGTGGTGGTGATTTGAGTAGTTTTCATGAATTTTACGTGCGAAAGACTCATGCTGTATATGTTGACGCTGGGCTGTGTTTTTATTTTTGTGAGGAACTGTCGCGTACAAACCACAGCCATTGTCACTGTTCGAGTGATTCAAGTCACTTACTTCATCATCGTGAGGCATGTTCCCGTTATAGCTGACATTAATATGACAATAGTTGTTAATCTTATTAAACATATTACAATTAGAATTATTATCGAGATTGTTATGACTACTACTATTACTAATATAGTTATTTTTATTTCTGTTTGGATTGTTAAAGTTTTTATTTTGGTAATTGGATTTGCTAAATTTATCGCTTTTACAGTTTCGATTGCAGAGAGACCCTAACGAGTCTTTCGTTCTCCACATCCCACACGACGTTGACACCAATGTGTTTGGCACCATCGTCAACGTCGCTGACGTAGATAACGTCGGCGACGTTGACGGTGGCGGTGGCGATGACCTCACAGTTTTTTCTCTCCGTGTCAGCGTCGTCGTGTTCGTCGTTGCTGTTGGGGCAGGGCTGGTGGAAGCGTTGGATGTTGTTGTGAATGTTGGTATCGGTGCCATTGTAGCTATTGATGAAAATCTGGCTGGATCCGAAGACTTTGGCGTAACGTTGCCATCTACCGCTTTGGAGTGTATTTTCAAAACACGTTGTCTCACCGGAAGCTGTTTTTGCGACATGGCTATTCCCAAAGAGCATACCCTTTTCTAGTTAGCTGACTCTTTGACAACACACCGGAGATGTTTCTTTGGCTAACTTGTGGCCTGCCGCGTATCGAAATTAAGGTGGGGACAATGGTGGCGGCTTTGTTAGGGATGCTAGTTCTGGTGGTGGTGGCGGCGGTAGTACCGTAGTGGTGGAGACTGGAGGAGGTGTCGGAGATATTTTAAGGTCACAGCACATCTTCAAACACCTTTCTCTCCTCAGTGCCTCCGCCCTCCTCTAAAATTTGCATTTTGAAAAAAAAATATATGTATATATATATGCTATCTCTGATCCACCACTTTTTATAGATAAGTCACTGGCCCAGCGTTTTACAAGTAATAACTATTTGTTCCTGTTGATAATGTAGTTTCTTGTTATTATTCTTAATATATATATATATATATATATATATATATATATATATATATATATATATATATATATATATATATATATATATATAGATATAGATATATATAGATATATAGATAGATAGATGTAGATATATATAGTTGTTCTTAGTTGTCTATTGATGGAATTGTTGTATTTAAATCGAAATTATGTGGATTGCTAGCCGTTAATGTCGTATGCTAGAAATGTTATCTCAAGCTTACACGATTCAAGAAAGGCGGGAGTGAATATTTGTGTGTGCGCGCGCAGTCACACGGGATAATACAAATTATTTAATTACTCTCATTCAAAGTAATTTGTTTTCATTTTTTTTGTTTGTTTGTTATTGTTTTTTTTAGTTGGTTGAAATTTTTCTTTTTTTTTTCTGTTTTTCTTTTGTAAAACTGAGAAATCCCTTTTAACAGTTTCAGTAATTCTTTCGTCCCTTTTTTCGATAATCCAGAAAATTATCAATATTCACTGCGGCCATCTTTTAATGCATGATCCATCAATGATAAATCAGTTCATAGATATATAAACAAATATAATTATTTCTTTCTTTCTTTCGCTCTTTCTTTCGCTCTTTCTTCTTTCTTTTTTTCTTTTTAACAAATATATTTTATCAGATTTTCTCCATTGTGGTTGTTGTTAATGTAAAGAGTTCTCTTTCTTTTCTTTTTTTTTTATTTTAAATAATTTCCAATTTCCTGGTTTGGTAAAATATCCACACTGTTAGTAAATATAATCCGTTGGGTCATAAATAAACAAGTAATGTCCAAAAAGGTTTTCTTTTTAGACTTCTATGTCCTATGTTTGAAAACCCAAATGGAATGATGAACTATAAAACTGCTTATCTACATACGAGTGAAACAATTGCGACGTTTGTGTTTTAATTTAATTTGTTAATGCTATAGTTTGTTGTGTTTGTATAATAAACTAGTATTTTATTGTTTTTTGTTTTTTGTTTTTTTTCTTAAGATGTTTAATCAAGTAATTATTGTTAATTGATATGTCGTTATTGTTAATGTTGTTAAAGGGACGATGTTTTGGTGTAGTGCTATTTTTAGATCTATTTTCATTTATTTCCTACAGGCGTGTATATCGCCGCACATTTAGCGTTTATTCATTTGTTACTTGACGTTTTAAAATTGTTTTTTGGGAGGGTTTTTTTGTTATGTTTATGATCATTAGTTTATCTTATGTTTAGAACAAAAAGCAATACTGCTTAAATGATCAGAGAGGTCAATAAGCGCAGAGAAAAAAAATGATGAGGGAATGACAAAAATATATGAAAAGATTGGAAGGTTAAGATGAATACAACGGTAATAATTTTATATTCAGACAAAGAAAGAAGAAATAAATTTCTTTCTTCCTTTCTTTCTAGTCTTTTTTTTTTCTTATTGTTGGAAATGAAAAGAAAAGATATATTTGGCACTGAAAACTATAGCCGAAAATATGAGAGAACGTTAATGTAATGGGTCGAAATAAAGAAATAGATAAATGGATAGACTTTGATAGAAAGACTGTGGAGAGATAGAGAGAAAAATGAAGAAATAGTGAAAAATAGATTTCACATCAGATCAGACGAATACCTGAGTATCCAATAGGAATGTTAGCTCCAAAGTGTATATAATTGTTTTGCCCTTTTTTTTCCGTTGTATGATAATTGCAGGTTTTGTTTTGGTATAATAAAATGGATTATTCCAAATCGTGTTCCAGAATCCGCGTGTAATGTGGACAAAAAAAAAAGGTGTTAAATCCTTGTTATTGTTTTCTTTGGTTCAAAGTTCCTATTTTCTTTTCTGTTTTATTCTGTTTTTTATTCTGTTTTTTTTTTCTCCTGTTTGAAGTTTTCAATATCGTGTTACTGCACGTGTGCGTGTTTTCTTTGTTGATGTAAGTGCGCGTGTGTGAACACTTGCATGTTTAACTGTGTGTATGTAATGCACATTTTTTTTCCATCTGAATAAATGTATGCTTGCGTTTATACGTGTTAATACGTATAAAATATGTTTAATATGTAAGTGATAACGCGTTGTAATTCCTAGAGAAAGAATGTGGTTTTGTTATGCTTGCTTTGTTTTTGGTTTTAGATATTTTTGTTTTGTTTTTTGGCAGTGATTGTTGTCTAGTTTTCTTCGTGTTGAAAGTATTTTGTGTTTAGCTAATTATTGCGTGCATATGAATTTTGTTTATTTTATCTCTTTTTTTTTGTTTTTTTGTTTTGTTTTTTGTTTTTGTTTTTTTGTACCGCTGTAAGTGCTTCTACTTCGAAAATTGAGAAAAAAAAAGTGCTTCCATGTGTATATACATATATATATATATATATATGTATGTATATATATTATTTTATTTTATTTTTTATTTTTTTTTAGTAATCGTTATCCAGGTGAATTGTTAAAAAAAAAACGTACAAAATATTCCCTGGATTCGGCGTGGAATCCTTTTCAGGACATTTCAAATCGTTTCGTTCTTTTTTTAAAGAAAATGATTTTTTTTTAATGTTTGGTTTTCACTAAATGTGTTGTCGACAAATGTTGTTGCTTTTTTTTTTTTTTTTGTTTTGTTTTCCCCCAATGATAATCTTGTAGTGTTATTTGTTGTTAATTGAGTTTCAGATATAAACTGTGAAAAAATGATGTTGTTTTGTTGTTGTTATTGTTTTTTTTCTTTTCTCTATCTCTCTCTATCTCTCTCCTAACTTCCGTATTTCTTTCTGTTTCTACTGCTTCTTAGATTCTTTTGTATATCTTGATCAATAACAATATTTATTTGAAAATATCAGACAAATGTTAAACGGCGAAACAGAATCAAATGAATTATATTATTTAATTTGGGAGATTACTTTCAGAGAAAATAAAAGACTTAAAAGTTTTGCTCTTACGTTTTCATGAATTTGTTTTGTTTTTTAGTTCGTTTTTTTTTTAAGAAAAGTTGTAAAAATTACGTATCAGGCGAAAAAAGGTGGTCTTCCCTCTTTTGTTTTTTTTTTTTTTTTTTTTTTTTTTTTTTCTTAACAAGGGCGGGTCGCGTATTATTCTCTAGAGAGTAACTGGTGGAGCTAGTTAGAATAAGTTGTGTGTGTTCGCTTCCAGTGTCGGAAGGCCTCTGGTCGACGCGGTTGGTTAGGAGAGATCACACCGTGGTGCCCTTAGAGAACATAGTGTGCTCTGTTGGCTCAGTCTCAAAGTAAAGCTCCTTGGAATGTGTCGCACACGAACATACACACGCACACACGCACAAACACACACGCACTCACGCACAACGCGCGCACACGCACACACTCACACACACGCACGCACACACGCACACACTCACGCACGCACGCACGCACGCACTCACACACGCACACACGATCACTCGCTCAATCAATCACGCACACACACGCACGCACACACGCGCACGCATACCTGGTGGACCGATTGCACACTCATATGTTTGCAGGACGCACTCGCGCGCACACACCGTGTGCACACACATACAGAGTGAAAATGACAGTGTTAAACATACACAGAGAGCGAGAGAGAGAGAGAGAAAGAAAGAGAGAGAAAGAGAGAGAGAGAAAAAATAAAATACAATCCAGTGATGAACGAAAAAAAAAAAGTCGTAAAAAAGGGTCCAAAAAAATCCGCCTCCCTTATTGGTCGTGTGTAAAATAATCCGTACTTGTTGTTGTTTTTGTTGTTGTTAATTCTTTTGCATTTATGGTCGGCTTGTACAATATTTTTGGTTAGAAAAGTATGCGTGTTTTCTTCAGTAAAAATGTATGGATGCAAATACTTTTTTCTTAAATTTGGAATTCTTCGAGATGAGAATAAACTTGCCAATTGTGGCCGTTAGAAAAGTCCGAAGATGTCTTTTTGATTTTCAACATATAATGCATGTACGTATATAAATATATATTTATATATACACATATATATATATATATGTATGTATGTATATATGAATGCGTGCGTGTATAGATAAAGTAGAAAAACTATTTTCTTGTCAGTCCCGGCTGTGTTTTTAGTTTTAACTTTTTACTTTCTTTCTCGTTTTTTTTTTTTTTTGTTAATTCATTTACACATATATGTACAATATATACACCAATATAAGACTGATTATTTCAGTATATATATATATGTATTTATATATATATATACATATTGTCCAGTGTTATCCGTGATATATAACTTTGTCCTACCACAGCCTTCTGTCCATGTGTGTTTGCGCGTGTGGCAGACTGTGCTTACCTCGTAGTAATAACAGCAGCAGCAGCAAGACTTGAGAATTTAGGAGTAGTATTTGTAGTCGTAGTAGTAGTATTAATATGCATATATTAGTAGTAATAGTGAGAATCGTAGTAGTGGTAGTATTAAGCAGCAGTAGCAGCTACTCTCAAATTGAAGTGTTAGTAGTAGTAGTTGTAACATTAAGGATATTAATAAAAGTAAGAATAGTAGTAGTAACAGGAGAGGTGATTAAATTGAGTGGTGGTAAATGTAATGGTGGCTTTACTGGTAGTAGTAGTGGTAGTAGTGGGAGTAGTAATGTCAATAATGGTAGTGGTGATAGTAGTGGTAGTAGTTGCTGCAGGTTTTTCAGCTGCTGCTGATTGTATTTGAAGTACATGAAGAAAGAAAGAAAGAAAAGAAAGAAAGAAAGAAAGAAAGAAAGAAAGAAAGAAAGAAAGAAAGAAAGAAAGAAAGAAAGAAAGAAAGAATGAAAAGAAAGAAAGAAAAAAGAAAGAAAGAAAGAAAAAAGAAAGAAAGAAAGAAAGAATGAGGGAAATCCTTCTCCCTTCCTTTCCTTCACCTTGTCGACTTGCTGACTCAGTTCTATTGGCCACCGGCTGAGAGCGAAGACAACTTCAAAAACCTTTCAGGTAGCAATACAATACAACTGCTTAAAATGGAGAAGTCTTACAAAGTTTTTTTTTGTTTGTTTTTTTTAATTACTTTTTATAGTTTCTGTTGTGTTGGAATCGTTTTGTTTTTTTTTCGATAATATTATTTTTTATTCTAATTTTTATTCTTTCTTTTTTAATGCAAACTTTGAAGTTTTCAAAGCCTTGACAATCAAAAGAAGATCACAGACGTACGCATCCAATGGACATTTTACTAGTGCTATTACTACTACTACAATTATTATCATTATTATTATCATTATTATTATTATTATTATTATTGTTGTTGTTGTTGTTGTTATTCTCTTCTTTTGCTTTCTGGTTAATATAATCCCTTTACGGAGTTATTATCGGAGACCTAATGTAAGACAAAGTAGTACAAAAATATGATCTCACTTTACACAAATTCAGATGTTAAGTGATACTTAATGTACGGTGTTTATATTTTCTTTATATTCATAAATACTTTCCTAAATAGATGAGCAGTTCCACACAGCAGCACACATTAAATTCTTAAACAGGAATTGCTATGGATTTTGTTAACGTTCTTCTCTGTACTTTTTTCTTATCACCCAGGGATCGAATTATTATAACTATAACAGTAGTCAGCATAAAGTGATATATTCTCTCAATTGCATTTTCAAGATCCATATATTTATTCATTTTGTTATATTCTTTATCGCATATATATATATATATATATATATATATATTTGACGACGCTGCCATATCTGTGAGAAGGTATACTTGATGTTTGTAGTTTTTTTTTTTTATAATTCAAATGGCTGAGCTATTAGTTTTTATATTTCTATTATTATTATTATTATTATTATTATTATTATTATTATTATTATTATTATTATTATTTCTGGTGTATACCCATTTCTTTCCGGGATCCAACCAGAGATCTAAGTTCAGAGATGGCACCATGACATTTTCCACTGAGCATTTTTTGAGGGAAAAATACCTAAGATAACATATATTTTAAAGCCCTTCGTAAGGAGTGGGCTGTATTTGTGAATATAATGTTTTTGTATTTCTGTAAGGCTTAAGCTAGCAAGAATCCCTTCAATGTGTCTTCTGTTTCTTCTTCTTATTATTATTATTATTATTATTATTATTATTATTATTGGTAGTGGTGATGGTGTTTTTGTGGTGATGATGGTGGTGCTGGATATGTTTGTATTTCTGTTCAATATAGATGTCTTATTAGACAGTTCTAATATTATTAACAGTCGCTGAGTGATTCCAGTGCTAATGTCCTGGATAATACAAAACTGCTGAACTTTTCTTGTTTTAAGTGCAAGAAAGAGAAGAGATTTTATTGGTAATACTTTCTAACTTTGACACTAACTTTGATACTAACATTGATTTTGAAGAGAAAAAGGTGCAATTAAAATGATTATTGTTTTCGAATACGCTTTTTCTTCTTTTCTTCTTGACAAGCATCGGTGCACTTACGATCTACATATTATTTTACCGACCTACCTCTTCATATCTACTTCAGTTTCCTTTTTATCTGTTCAGTGTCTACATTCTTAGCTAAGGTACTTGTGTGCAGTCCCTTATCAGTGTTCGTACTCAGGCAAAGGCAAAACTTCGAATGATTATTGTCGGCTCCCCCTTCCAACCTGATCTTATCCATAATAGTCAATATATTCGGCAGTATTCTACATTGTAATAAATATGTCCGTCTCTGTCTTTTCGTTTCTTTTGAGACATACATCTATCTTTTTGGACGCATGAGGTTCCCTTAATCATTTATATGCCTCAATATAAAAAGCAAAAATAAAAACGCGGATATTTTTTCATCTACATTCTCTCCCTGTCTTTCTCCCACGTACACACAAATTTTCAGTTTCTCTTACCCCCCCCCACACACACGCACAATTTCTCCTTATTTTTCTCACTGCCCTGCACACACAGACACACACGCAAACACATAATGTTTCTGCCCTTTACTCTCTCTCTCTCTCTCTCTTTCTCACATGCGTACGCACTTTTCTCTCTCATACAGCTACAAGCGCACATATACTGTCTCTCTCTCAAACAAATACTTTCTCTCTTTCTCTCTCTATCGCACACAAACACACTTTCTCTTTTCCTCATAAACACTCTTTTTCTCTAGAACGTTTCTTTTCGCTCTTTCTCTCTCTCCCTCGCACACACATTCTTTCTCTCTTCTTCACACACTCCCTTTTTTTTCCTTTCCATCGCTCCTTTCTCTCTTTTTCCCTTTCTCTCTCTTACGCGCACAAATATACTCTTTTTCTCTTTCTTTTCAAGCGTTGAGTAATTGTTAGCAAATTCTTCTGGTTAAAACTGTATTTGATTAAATGATTTTCGATTCTCACTGGATGCCCATGAAAAAATTTCGACATTAAATAACTCATAAAGGTTTCACATGTAAAACAGTCCCCACTTCACTCTCTCACACACGTACACAAACACACACACACACAGAGAAACGCATACACACACACACACACGCAAATACCAACGTAAACATTTTCCCAACTATTCCACGCACGCGCACACAGACACATACGAACATTTCATTTTTTTTTCCTATCCTTCACATTTTTATTTTTTGTATTTTTAAATCTACCCCTGTTTTTTTTTTGGTTTTTTTTTTGGTTTTTTTTTTTTTTTGGTTTTTTTTTTTCGTTCAATCATTGTCTTGTCATGCCACACATGATTGGTCTCATGCATTTCACAAAACAACTACATAAACACTTATATCCCCGTTTTGCACGCAAATAAACAACAACATTCGCGTACTATTCACGGAATTTAGAAATGTTGTCCATGTGTATTACATACTTTCTCTATTTATATAATCTATATAATTTTGACTTACTTCCCCACAATTTATATTTACACACTATCGCGTATGTCCGCGTGTAAAACGATATCTTCTTACCTTCAACAATGGCGAATAGGATTGGCATATATATATATATATATATATATATATATATATATATATATATATATAATAAAAGGCTTAAACACTAATATTCCATGGTCATAATTTATTCCATTGGAATCGTAAATACGATCCAATTCATCAGACCTACAAATTCAAAAAGAAAACAGAAAAATATATATACACACACACATATATATATATGTGTGTGTGTGTGTGTGTGTGTGTGTGTGTGTGTGTGTGTGTTAGTCTCTATGTCTGATATTGAGCGCTTTCTAATAAGTACCCGTGCATATATATAAATAATTATATATATATTTATTTATATACACACATTTCACACGCATACACACACACACACACACACACACACACACACACACACACACACACATATATATATATATATATATATATATATATATAAAAAGAGTATCAAATATAAAAGTTCATACACTGCGTGCTAACGGACCGTACAAGAGCGACCACGGCAGCTGCCGTCATTAACATTCAAAATAACTACAACAGTGATCGGTGGTCATAATCACCATTACTTCTGTTTCTTACCGAAGGATCGTTATTTTACACAGTTCCGTTGCCAATGACAATTGTAATAAATGAGAAGAAAAAAGAAATGGACATAAAAATGGAGAGAGAAAAAAATAAATATAAGAAAGACAAACGAATCAGACTGAACACAAAATAGACAAAGCCGTTCATGCTTTATACACGCGCACATGGCACAAAAGGAGGAAGTATTTGTTCGTAGACTTTCTAAAATTTACACAGCAAAAGATAAAAATAACGGTCTGCCTTTATAAATAAATTCTACTTTTCGGGTAGTTTGTGTGCTTGTATGTTAGCAGAAAATAATGGAACTGAAAGCTTTGTGTACGCTGACGCAAGATTTTTCTTTTTCTGTATAAATTTTTCGATATATATATATATATATATATATATATATATATATATACGAATGTGTGTGTGTTTATGTGTCAGACAAAATATTCCCATGTAACGGTCTGTGCAAGTGAATGTTAGCTTATGTTCAATGAATACAATATGATCGAAAAGATACATTTTTATTCCGGGCTCTATGTAGTCAAAACGCATTTAAGAATGTCAAGAGAAAAAATATAAAGGTACCTCCAAAGAATCAAGATACCTAAGGTTTAAAATGAATTTTTAAAAATGATAAAATCTTTCATGAATCTTTCATCTTAGTTTTAATTTCAAGCTAATAGATTAAATTTAATGTTTTCAGTAAGCAAAATACTTTGTTGGAGTTGAAAACTAATTTAAATTGACTGGAAAATGTGTTTTTAAATCGTTAAAAATCGTTGATCTTAGCACCGTTTTTAGCCATCATTCAGTGCAATGTATATCACTTTATTATTATCAAAACTGAAATATACTTTTATGAAACTTTATTTGAGGAATATTAGTTGATTTAAAGTTTCATTAATCTGATTTGAAATAAATGTTACTAAATTTTAGTTTAAAATATTACATAATATTTTTAACACTGTGTAGGTGTTTATTTAAGGTGTTGACAGATTTACAGTATGACAGACATACGGAAGTTTACATATTTTTTCTACAGGGGACAAATCTGTAAAAATTACATGAGGAATATAATATGAGCGCCTTTTTTTATATAATTAGTAACTACACAATAATCTTAAGAAATAGGAAAATATCCTCCATAATCTAATGTTTTATTGGAGTTTAGGTACTATATTTATAATTTAATTCAGTTATCGCATTTATTTTCTGATAATGTCGTATATGGACGTACGTATTTACAAAAATCGTCACGTTTATACAAACAAAAAAAATTCAAAATTGTTTTTAAATACTGAAGGTGTCACAGAATTGTACTAAGCATGTCCATTTCTGATTAGTAAATATAGTTTTAATTTAATGAACAATACTAATTAATAGAGAAATTTAAAAGATTTAAAGCTTTATAAATTATTATATTTAAATTACTTTTAAAAATGAAAATAATTCTTGTAAAAATTCAATATTCATCGAATTTTTTTTCTTAAGATAATAGTGTCTATAATATATCTTATTCATAAAAGCAATATAAAGATTTTCTAAATAAATAATTTCGTAGTTTTACTGCATTTTATTATTTTACGAATCGGGGTAGATTTTCGGTAACTGGTGGTCCTGTTTTACAAAAAAAAAAAAAAAATTAATGAAAAAAAAAAAATTTCTTGAAATTTCTTAAAATTAAAAAAGTGTGGTCTAACAGATGTAAAAAAAAAATGTTTTGCCAAGATTTTCTTAAACAAAACATTTCTAAAGTATTTCTGAATAAATCTTGAAAGTTTCATTAAAATCCGAATTTGAGTTTCGCAAGGATTTCCAAATCAATGCGTTTTTCACAGAAAAAAAAAAGCAAAAAAAAAAAAAAGATAAATTTCCCGATAACTAATCTTTGGTTTCCCACTGACGCAAGGAAAACAAGATTTTTAACAAAATTTTGAACATTCGAAAAAGGATAAAAACAAAATAATTTAATTATTAAAAAATCCTGTGGTCTTTCCTCTTAATAATAATATAATGATTTTGAAGTTTGAGGGATTTTCTAATCATGTATTCTCATTTTTAGCCAATCTGTGAAGGTACATAGTTATATATATATATATATATATATATATATATATATATATATATATATATATATATATATATATATATATATATATATATATATATATATATAAAAAAGCTTATAGTTATTCAAACGAGAAAAAGTGTATATATTAAAAAGGAGAGAGAAACCGCAAAATTTTTGGGTTGTAATGTGGATTTTTTTTAATATATTATACTTTATCTTCCATAATTCAAGGAAGACATTTGTGTCACTAACGCACAAAAAAGACAAAGTCTAACATCGAGAATGTTTAACATAGAAAAAACATAAGAAAAATTTATTTTAATAATATTTCGATATATCCACTCTTTGCCTGATGAAGGTCGCGAGACCGGAAACCCGTGTAGAAAAATTATGGAAAATTAAGCATAATATATATATTTTTTTAAATCCACATTACAACTAAAAACGTTTGCGGTTTCTCTCTTCTTTTTAATATATATATATATATATATATATATATATATGTATATATATATATGAAGAAATATAGTCTTAAGGTGTGCGTCTAGCATGAAACAGACTGTCGCCTCTAAGTGTTGACTTCAATGTTCACTTTTATATATATATATGAAGAAATATACTTTTAAGGTATGCTATATTTATGGGATAAAATGCTCAATATCAGTGATAGTGCGTATGTAAATATAAAAGAGAACATTGACGTCAACAGTCTGTCTGTTTAATGCTAAACTCAATCGTTAGGTCACGATTGCGTTCATATATATATATATGCGTGTGTGTGTGTGTGCGCGCGTGCGTGCGTGCGTGTGTGTTTGTATATATAATATAAAAGGCTCAAACACTAATATTCCATGGTTATAATTTATTACGTTGGAATCCTAATCACGATCCAATTCATCAGACCTACAAATTCAATTTGAATCTGTAGGTCTGATGAATTGATCATGATTACGATTCCAATGGAATAAATTATAACCATGGAATATTAGTGTTTGAGCCTTTTATATTATACATACATACATACATACATACATACATACATACATACATACATACATATATATCTATCTATCTATATATATATATATATAGTTTATTCAAAACTAGGTAATCCGTATGGGTAGACCCAAGGAGGAGGATTTTTCACTTTTAGAAGTAAAGTCTGATGATCCTGAGCCCTTTAAAAGGGCTATGGTGAAATAATTTATTACATGGAACCTTAAAGTGGTCTGTATTTTATTAAAATATATATATATATATATATATATATATATATATATATATATATATATATATATATATATATATATATATATGAGAGAGAGAGAGAGAGAGAGAGAAACTTCAGTTGTTATTTTAGCAGATACCCGTGTTTGAGAAGAACGCTTCGTTTTTTGGTTTTTTTTGGTTTTTTTTATTTTAATCAGTATTTATTCCACCCACCGGATTGCACGCTTTCTCAGGTGTGCAGGCTGTTAGACAAAATAAATACTTTTTAAAATATGAAAAAAAAAAAAAATACGGAGCATCTTCTGTAATACGGATATCCACAAAAATGTGGTTTGAATTAATAAAAAATATGTAGGATCAAAAAATAATATCCATTGGCATTAATTAATATCTTTATTCATTTATTATATTTGAGTAAACGCTCTGTATATTTTAAAAAGTATTGTATTTCATCTAGTGGCCTGAACATTCGAGAAATCATATGAAAAAAACGCCCTCTTTGTTTTACGTTTCGGATACGAAACTGAGAAAGTATGATATTCGAAGAAATCTGAACGAGCAAAGTGTGCAAATACAACTTCTCTTGCACCTAAAGATCTTCATAGCCGATTGGTCAAAACCACAACGCATCAGACGACGGTTTCTTTTGTATTTGCGGAAGCAGGTTCGAATCCTCACCCAGAGCGCATTTATCTTTATTAATAATTATCGATTTTTTTTTTTTACCTTCTCCACTGTTGTGCATTCAGAATTTTTTTTATTTTTATGTTTTTCTACTTTGACTTCCACCCAAGGGTAGTTTATTTAATAGTTTAATATTTAGACCGTACTCGGGGTCAGGATAGATTCTTGCTTAACAAAATGGTATAAATGTAAATTAACAAATTTGTACATTCTTGTATCTATCATATAGGTTGACACAAAAGTTGTGGGTTTACAAGTGATATTGCTATTAAGTAGAAAATGTTATTAATGTATCTTTATGTAATAATGAAGAACTTTAAATGTAAATTTAATTCAATTATTGAAAAAAAAACACATGGTAAATGACAACTATTTAATACCTTGTATTCACGGGCTTCAGAAAATAAATAATTTTCTATCTTCTTTCGTTCTTCTGTTCGCTTTTCCGTTCGAGCAAAGTTGAGGCGCTGCTCATAATCTGATGACGTTATTTCCTGTAGAAACTGGATTTTAAACGGATCCCGCTGTAAATCTCTCCTCATAATAAGGTGCAAGGATATTCGAGACATATTCAGCTGCAAAGATCGTCTTCGAATGGACATTCTCTGTTTATCTTCTTTTCTACTCTGTTCAATACACGTTCAATACTTTCTTCCGTGCAAGATGAACGTGGTCTCACAGATCTTGGCAAGTTATGAACAGAACCTACTTGCTGAAGACGGCCTATGTTGATTCTTAGGGCTGATATCTAACATTGAATTCTTCGTCAAAACAACTGAATGTTAGTTTTCCAAATAAAGTTGTAAAATTTTCCATTTTTTTATCGAGTTGTGGACTTAATCCAGAATCAACTACCAGAGCTTCCACTTTCTAAATTTGAAAAGAAAAAAAAAAGATGTCAATCTCAATTCCTTGAATAGTTATTAAATATCAAAAACCCGTTGTTTATTTTGAGATAGCATGTATTGTGTTGGTGCATAATTATCAGGCGTTTTTAAAATAATATTTATTATAGAAAAAGACATATAACAATTCAACAATAACATTTTAAAATGATTTTTCCGGAGCGTATGATTATCGAAATCGCATTTTGATAACCTGAAAATAATTTTTTTTTTATTAAAAAAGTATACAAAACAGCAATTTTTATTAACACATAACTCGCCTACAAAAA